CAGAGGAAGAAGACGACGAGCGTAATAGAGATCCACGCAATCTACGCCACTTGTAAGCAGCTTTTCACAGTTGTCTCGTATCCGGCCAAATCCAAGCTCACCATGGTTCCCACCAGAGCGCCGACATTTTTCTTTGCCCAAGACTCCTCCGGCTGGCTCTCCTGGTCACCAGCGACAGTCTGCTGGTCTGCCGAAACAGCTGAGTCGGTGGTGGGCAGAGTGGTGCCAACGGCGATACTGTCCCCATCTCCTGGTCCAGTTCCGAGCACCGTGGCTGTAGCATACCCAAGGGTTGAGCTTCCAATGGCGGTGACGGTAGCACCAATGGAGCCGGTAGTGCCCAACGTGCTCTGGGTGGCTTTGACAGTTGTGTTTCTACAAACCATGTCAGCACTATAAGAGACCACGTCGGTGACTGTGATGCTCACTTTGATACGATGCCATACGTCACGTCCGTAAGCGACAATGCCGACTTCCCCTGATTCTCCACTGTGACAGTATACTGCACAGACGGGTTCAGCCCCGACGCAAAGTACTTGATAGTGTCAAGAGTCAGCCAGCTGGTGTTGCCCGTGAACGTCTGGTTCGCTGGCCACGCGGCTGTTGATGATGCGGGGCTCAAAGCGACAGAGTATGGCCCGTGCGTGTTCCGAGAGGCACCGCGGATGAGAAGCAGTGTGGTATTGGCAGGGAGGCCAAACGTGACGGTCTCGTAAGCAGCGTAAGAGATGATGTGGGGGTAGGACGAGTTGGTAGCTGCGCCAAGTCAGCCGGGAATCAATCAGAAGTGAGAGGAGACGCACCTGGGGTGTCTGTGGTTCTCCAGGCGCCATCAAGACTGAGGCCGTCTGCGAAGGTGCCGTTGGTGGAGAAGTCCATGGTCGAGAAGGACGTGGCGAGGCTGGGCTGTCACATGAGCGCATGTCTCGCCACATATCACGGCGACCTACCCAACATTGCCAAGCCCTGCAGTCACGGTGAATCCCAAGAAGGCGACAGATGACCCGCCTTTGACCACAACTTTTGTTCTGTGCCACCCATACTTCAAGCCTGTAGCTGACGCAAGTAGATTCTCCCCATCCCCCTTCGAGTCGACCACTTCTCCGTCCACTCTGAGCTCTACTTCCCCGCTAGACGCCTGGCCCCAAGCATACACCGCACAGCCCACGAATTCGATGGTTACTGAGGCATTTGCAGCGGATGTGTGATGGTACGACGTGCCCTGCCCCATGGCGTCGATGCTGTACTCTGACCAAGGGCTGTCAGTGTAGGACGAGTTCCATGTGGACGAGGCGGGCCCGTCGCGTGAGGGGAGGTAAGTGAGTGCCGATGCTTGATCATTGAGAGTGATGTTGTAGGGGAAGGGCTCGGCACGGGTGAGGAGAGGCCGGAGGACAAGGAGGGCACCCGCGGTGAGGATGAGCATGGTGCGTGAGGAGGGGGGGTCAACATCATATCATCAGTAGATAGAGTCGTCTCCTCTAGGCAAGCATATAGGGGGATTGTTGATTTTTGGTTCTGCTTGAACACGACGTTAGACCATGTTTTTGCCCGCCTCAACCGCCGTTGGACAGGGGTTGCACAAAGACCAAAGGCGTGAGTACCTGCTTCATCCATGGGAACATGGGAAAGCCAAGGTGTGTGGTGGAAGGCTTGAAGGACCCCCTGGACAGAAGCGGCGGTTCGCGTCGTCGGTCGTCTCCGTCTCGGTCCAAAGGATTGGCGGGTGAGATCTTATGGGCCCCCCGAGCCATGCCGGAACGGCGGCCGTTACGATAACCAAACGACCTACTTATCGGCCACCCCAGATTAGGCTATTACAGCATTCGGATGGAGACGAGGCAAGGGGAGGCGCAAGCGCGAAAGTAGACAAGGCAAACGACATGTGATCTGTCAGAAAAACTGAACAGACTGGTGCAAGCGAAGGCCTGGCAGCAAGGCCGACGTCAACTTCAGGCCGAGGGCGGCGCTCGAGGGCGTCAGGCGATGCCAGGGCGGCCGCTCGCAGGTACGGATACCGAAGAATACCGGCCCGAAGACGATGGAAGCGCCAGCAGAAGGCGGGCCCCCAGCCTGGTGATGTTCGCTAAAAATACCTGGCAGGGGGTGCCTTATGACGGCCCTGGTGGCCAACTCGACTCCACCATCGCGTCGTCCTCCTCCACCTCTAAGCGAGCAGACAACGCAGCCAAAATTGTTTTCAAAAGCGGCCCCGCGCTCTTAAAACGCTTGGTCCAATCGCCGAACTCACCAAGCAACTTTTCTCCAAACGATCTCGAGCCGAGGTCCTGCCCAACAACCCACCTGTGACTGGTTCTTGTCATCTGCATCTCTGATCGTCGTCGACAGCTCTTCTTCATCTCGAACCATCATCGCACACATTGAAGCGCAATGTCTGACCCTTCTCAGACCATGAAGGGGCCGTATTCGGTGCAGGCGGTGACAGAGTCTATCCAGCGTGAGCAGGTGGGATCCGGGCCGTTTGCCTCGCGGGTGAACATTCACCACGGGGGAGAGGCTGGCACGGTTGAGGGCATCGAGGAGCCTGTCAAGCACTTCCACTTGATGTCTCTTGGTGAGTCGCGCGGCTTGGTCGGGGCTTGGGAAGATGATCGAGCTAACACTGCACACAGTTGGTCTCGCCTATGCCATCTTGAACTCTTGGACCGCAATGGCGGTGTCTCTCTCGGTCGCTCTCCCCTCGGGCGGGCCTACAGCAGTGATCTGGGGTATCATCCCATCATTCATAGGCAACCTGGCGATGGCGGCGAGCATGGCGGAGATTTGCCACGTCTACCCTACCTCTGGTGGCCAGTATCACTGGTCTGCCATCCTCGCCCCCGCAAAGTGGGCTCCGGTGAGTGATCCGTCTCTATCGGCCCGACCTCGCTAACAAGTGCGTTTAGCAAATCTCGTGGGTCTGCGGGTGGTTCGCCGTGTCCGGCTGGGTGGCTCTCGCGGCTACTGCCGGTTCTCTCGCCGGGCAGCTCATCACTGGTGTCATTGCGCTCCTGCACGACAACTACGAGTCTGAGCGGTGGCACATCTTCCTCATCTACATTGCGTACACCCTTGGCGCGTGCTTCCTCAACATCTTTGGGTTGAGGTTCCTCCCCAAGATCAACCAGACGGCGATCTTTTGGTGAGTCGATTCAGGCTATGAACAACGCTGACAGTGTAGGTCCCTTACTGGCGCCGTTGTCATCATCATCGTCTGCCTCTCGTGCGCCTCGCCCAACTTCCAATCGGGCAAGTTTGTCTTCACCACGTTCATCAACGAGACGGGCTGGCCCAGCGGTGTCGCGTGGATCCTCGGTCTCTTGCAGAGTGAGTGTTCCATTGCTCAAAGCCAACCATTGCTGACTCCTCACAGGCTCCTTTGGTCTCACCGGTTACGATGCCGTTTCGCACATGGTTGAGGAGATGCCCAACCCCCACATCAACGCCCCCAAGACCATGATCCTTGCGGTCTGCATCGGCGCGTCGAGCTCCTTCATCTTCCTCATCTGCTTGCTTTTCGGCATCAAAGATGTCGACAGCGTCAACACTTCGGCCGCGGGTGCGCTCCTCGAGTCCATGTACCAGGCTACTGGTTCCAGGGCTGGCGCTGTTTGCCTTCAGGTACGTCCATAACTTTCCAGGCCAAGCTGACATTCTAGATCTTCCCCATCATCGCCATGGCTTTCACCGCCCAGGGCCTCGTCACTGCGTCCTCGCGCATGTCGTACGCCTTCGCCCGTGACCACGGTCTTCCCTTCTCCCGCGTGTTCTCCATCATGAACCGCAACGGCGTGCCTATCCCCGCGGTCCTCCTCACCACCGGTCTCGTCATCATCTTTGGCTGCATCTACCTCGGGTCCAGCGCCGCGCTCAACGCCATCTTGTCGAGCTCTGTGGTGTTCTTGAACGTCTCGTACTCTATCCCTAGTGAGTTGGCCGGATCCGTCTCCGAACTAAGCTGACAAGTCACAGTTCTCCTCGTCCTCCTCCGTGGCCGAGCCATCCTCCGCCCTCCATCCCTCCCCGAGCCCACCTGGTCTCTCGGTCCTATTCTCGGCCCTATCTGCAACTGCGTAAGTAGACCCAAGCGACGTGTGATCCCCGCTGACACCTCACAGATCGGGCTCGGTTTCACCATCCTCACCACTGTCTTCTTCCTCTTCCCTCCTGAGCTTCCCGTTGACGGCACCAACATGAACTACGCCGTGGTCGTGTTTGGCATCATCTGTATGTTGCCCATTTGTCTATCCAGTCTCCCGCTGACTCCCCACAGTCATTATCTCGGTCATCACCTGGATCATCGACGGCCGCAAAAACTTCATTGGGCCCCGAGACCTCGGTGCTCTCCTGGAGCTCGCCCGTTCTGAGGTTGACGCCACCAAGGTTAACGCGCACTACACCAACCAGGGTGTTGTGCTTGACAACGTGCGTCCGGGAGAGGCGCACGAGAAGGCTTCGACGGCGGCGTCGTCGTCTTGAGGCATTGTTGGGGTGTATAGAGAGGGTCAGAAGTATACAATACGACAGGGCTAGGTTCACGGGTATACAGTTATAAGTGTTCTCGCTCATGTTTCCGGATGCATCATGGTTGGATTTCATTCCGTGTGTAGTCAATCAGGCGTATACACTCGTCCATCGAACCTGGTGAGACACCGTCTAAATCAAGCGTCGTATGTATCTGGCAAGCGTCTGATGCTCACGGCAATAATTATCATACTGAAGCAAATACTACTGTAGAGAGCAGAATCCGCGAGCGCAATGCAGTATGTGAAGAGCCTGTAGGGGGGGGGACGGGGATAGGGACGAGGGACGATTACGTTCGCGGCGCTGTTGTACGACATGATGTATGATGGCTCATGGGAGGCATAGGAGGTATAGGAGAAAGACGCCACGACGTGCGCCAATGCAGTGCAGCACCGTGGGTTTCTCACTCAGCACTCAACCAGTCTAATGGAAAGAAAACCGAACTCAGAGCAACGACCTATGCCGGCGTGGCATGTGGGGGATTAGTTCAGTGGTAGAATATCGGATTCCAAATATCCACTATGAGTGTAGTTTGCTATCCGCAGGTCGTCTGTTCAAACCAGGCATTCCTCAGATGTTTTTGCACTTTTTGACATGCATGGTGTATTCCTGTGATGAGCACTACCTTATGCACATCGGGTCTGGGGTATTCCTGATGAAGACCAAAATCGGCTCAACGGGCGCCTGGCGACGGTTCAAAGATGACCGCGTTTACGCGTCGCAGTGTTCGGTTTTTGTGCTTCTTTTGCAGGTCGCCAGAGGCAGTGAAATTAGTCTTGTTCTGTACGATGTACTTATGCTGTGGTAGACATATCTTTCCCCGTGAGTTTGGCACGGCCGAGTTCAAACATGGAGCAGCGCTGCTGCTTAATACTCTAGCATGACAAGTGTTCCTATCACCGGAGCAGGTGTCCTACATACTTCTTGCCTAACGACGACCGTTTGAGACACTTGCGTGACTGAGGCGGGATGTCTTCTACTAACTTGGGATAGTGCTTGAAGAGATCACCACGCCAGCAGCGGTGCGAGTTTACACAGCTTATTAATGCATGGAGCCGAGGCTGCTGAAATGTTTCTGGATGGCACTACTCAGATCACATCAGACAAAGTGGAGACCAAAAACACCTCTGTCGGTCTCTGGGGCGGCCGTTAGGCGCGGCTGGCTTGTGTCGAGCCAGGGGTTCAGCTGCTTCAGCTTTGCTTGACCTCCACTCATCGCACCCTGAATCACCTCCATCAAGTCAATCCTTGTGATCAACTTTTGCCTCGATCTCTTACCCCAACCACTCCCAGCATGACCAACCCTCTCACCCCTTCGGGGGCTTCCACATCCTTCAAGCCCCCCTCCCAGATCCCTCAAGACATTGCGGCCATCATGGAAATGGTTGCCAACGACCAAGTCGTCGGCGCCCTCCCTCCCGTGTCAATGTCGGCGGCAGAGAAGCGCAAGCTCGTGGAGGAGAGCATGGGGTTGAAGGCGGAGAGTGACTCGGACTCTTCCAGCGAGTTCGAGTCTAGCAGCGAAGAAGAATCCGAAGAGGAGAAGCCAGAGGAGAAGCCGATGACCGCAGAGGATCACGCGGCGATGAAGGCCGAGCTTGACGCCTTCGTCGAGTCCGGCTCGGAGTCGGAGGACGAGGACTACTCCTTTCCCGGACTGGCAGAAATGGGGTATGAGTTTATGGAGGACGACGAGGAAGAGGCGGGTACGGGTGGGGGGCCGATCCAGTCTATCCACGAGGCCCCTCTGCCGCCCGTACAGCTGCCGCCCATGGAAAAGCTGCCAGAGGGCGAGGGGGTGTGTCTTGCCGGGGATGTTGTGAGCTGGATGAAGGAGAAAAAGGTGGAGGCGTGGGTTGAGAAGCAGGCGGCGTTGGCAGCTGTGAAGCAGGAGGCTGCGGACGAGGGCGAGAAGGAGGATGGGAAGGAGGAGGGCGAGAAGAAACAAGGGGAGGAAGAGGCCGGGGTGAAGGTCGAGCCGGTAGAGAAACCGGCTGAGCCACGGTTTGCATCGGCCGGCACAATAGTCGTCCGTGCAATGCAGTCGCGCCCTCAGGATGAAGGGTGGTTGGAGGAGGGCAGTATCTTGTGCTGGGAGGATGGCCGCGTCGTTGGAATTGTAAGTCCGCTAAACCACGGCCATGGCATCGACGGAGCTGACCCCTCGCACAGGTCCACGAAACGTTTGGCCCCCTCACATCCCCCTTCTACTCCATCCGTCTCCCGCCTCCCCCCTTCCCCTATCCAGCTCCCGACTCTCTTGCTGCCGGCACAAAACTTTTCTACCCCTCCAACACCTCCTACCGGTCGTTCGTCAACATGATGGCTGTCCGTGACCCGCGGTTCAAGGGCACCGACGCGTCGAACCTGTACGACGAGGAGGTCGCCGAGGACGAGATGGAGTGGTCGGACGACGAGGCAGAAGCAGCTGCCAAGCGCGCGCGAAAGGACAAGAAGGGGAAGGGGAAGGGGGCGAGGGCTAGCGCCGCGCCGGGGCACCCGTCATTGCCTGCGCGCCCCCACTTTGACTATCAGCCGGACGACGGGATGTCGGAGACGGGGAGCATGTACGGGGGAGACGAGAAGTGGGAGATGGGGTCGGACGCGGGGTCGACGATCAGCGGGAGGGGGAGACCGAAGCCGATGCCCTATGACATTGACGAGCCCGTGGAGACGCCCAATAACGTTGGGGCCGGGGGCGGAGGTGGCGGTAGAGGTCGAGGCGGAGGGCGAGGGCGGGGAGGGCAGGGGAGGGACCGTGGTAGGGGCAGGGATGGTGGTGGTGGACAGCGAGGGGGTCGGCAATCATTCCCCCTCCCATCCAACCCTAAGCTCCAGCAGCAGCAACAGCCGCCCCCTCAGCAGTGGCAGCAACCACAGCAGCAGCAGCAGCCTCAATTCGCCCCACAGTTCCCCTTCTACCCGCAGATGCCCTTCCAACCCCAATCCCAAGACTCGTACGAGCCCAATCGCCCTACTATGGGCATGCCCATGTTCCCGCAACAGCCTCAGGCGGGGTTCATGCCGCAACAGGGCGGTGTGCCGGCGATCAACCCCAGATTTGCCGCGCAGTACCAGATGATGATGGGGATGGCGCAGATGGCGCAGGGCGGGTATGGGCAGCAGGGGCAGGGCGGATATGGTCAACAGCAAGGGTACGGGCAGCAGGGGCAGGGATATGGTCAGCAGGGGCAGGGGTATGGCCAGCAGGGGCAAGGAGGGTATCAGGGGCAGGGGGGTTATCAACGGGGTGGGGATGACCAGCACGGCGGCCACAGCGAGTAGAGATGTATGCATATACTACCCAGATCTAATCGAGGCCCTTGCGGCTCAGCACCGCTCTGATCTCGCGGTGCTGCCCAAACCACGTTGCAAAGTCCGACTTGTCTAGCGGGATGCCCTGGTCCTTCATCTCCAAGAGGAAGTTGGCGAGGACGATGAGTGCGCCGTCTGTCGTCAGCCATGCTCAGTGTCGTGTACAACTCACATCTGTACAGATAGTTCATCGCTCTCGTGGTCTGAGCCTTGTGCTTGGCTGACCCGGGCTCTGCAGCGTCGACCTGGAGCTTGAAGCTGTGAGGCACAGGTTTAGCTGGGAACGTTGCTCGGTTGGTCACCAGTACCCACTCGTAAACGGCCTTGCGCAGATTCTGCACTCCCTCCATGACGTTGATGGCGCGGTCGGTGACACGTTTGGCCTCTGTATGTCAGCGGGGCTCAAAATTGTACAACTCACCTTTGCCATGGCTCATAACCGTCACCAGCTGCAGGATCGTCTTGTACTCGCCTGCTCGTCAGCCTGGTCTGGCGTAAGGCAAACTCACCATTGAGATAATGGGTGGCCTCGTGCACCTCTTCATCCCCTTCATCCTCATCCTCGTCTTCCGAGAGCACGGCGGAGCTCGTGTCGCGGACAGCGATAGTGGCGATCAAAGAGGCGACTGCCATTCCCGTAGTCGTTCGACCACGACCCATTTGACAGTTGAAGCTGTGGGATGTCAGCGGGAAAGTGTCATCTCTCACCGACGACTTACACTAGGTCCGTCTCCTCCTTCAAGCCTTGCGCGACGCGATCCACCAGCACTTGCAAGGTAGCCGGGAGCGGCGCTTGCTCGTCCGTCTGTTCCATCGTCAGCGCTGCCGCGGCATCTCACTGGGATACTCACAATAGCAACCCGCATATAGTCTACCTTGTACCCCTCGGCAATGGCACTTTCGTACATCTCCCTAGGGGTCATCACCGCACTCTCCTCGAGCGTCTCCCAAATGGGGATGATCTCATAATGCCCGGGCTTGGTTTCAACCTCGTCGTGCAGTAAGAGACGGCCTTGGCCCGCGCGAAGTTCCCGGAGGACATCCTGCTTCATGGCAACTTCCATGCGCTCAACGACAGCAGCTGTGACTCCGGTCGTCCTATGGTGGGTCAGCGGTGCGTTGTCGCAAAGTTGCAGCGGACTCACTCGACGTTGGTGAGAGGTTTGTCAACTAGACGCAAGACGTGTGGCCGAGCGTTGACGTACTGCGATGGGTCAGCTCGGAAGCCTTACAGACGAAGCGGAACTCACGAGAACCGGCTCCTCGCGCAGAGATGTCCACAGCACTTTTCTAGAGCCACCAGGTCCAGCGTTCATCTTTTCGAGTGCGTTGCGCAACCTGCAAGAAAGTCAATGACGATCATCCACCGACGTAGAGATGAACGTACCCAGAAGTAGATGGCATCCTACGCGGCGTCAGCTGGAGGCCTTCAATTGTGGAAGAGTCGCAAGGAAGCTCACCCGGTACCATACACGAATCGCTCCTCCCCAGGTGCTTCTTCCCCACCCAAATCACACACCAGCGGCAGCTTCCGGTAGTTGGCAGCACCATCCACTCGCCTGGTCACGGGTCAGCAATGACCACGCAGTGGAGGACACTTCGACTCACTCTGGCAGACTCTGCTTTTGCAAGCCCGAGAAGAAGTCGGATTTGAGAATCTGCGAGATGTCAGCTCAGCCAGACGTTGCCGCATGCGAGACTCACCGTCTGCGCAGAGAGGATAGCTCCCGACCGCGACGCAACCACCTGCGTGACTTCATCCGGCAGCTACGCGACGTCAGCTACGCCCTGCGCTCGCACCAACGAGACTCACAGCCATCCCATCAGCCGGCTCCATCCGCTCAATCGGCGCCAACCCTTGCAAACCACCTTCCTCCAGCTCCTTCTCGAGCGTCTTGAACACTGGCCGGTGCTTCACAAACGACTCGAACGAGAACGGCTCTTCCTCGTCTGGTGCCCTGTCTTCCAGGTAGGCCTGGAACAGCAAGAGGTGGAAGTATCGCTTGAGCAAGTGTACGCCTATATGTACTTTCGTCAGCCCATAGTGGCGCGAGCGATAGATGCAGACTCACCTCGCGAGGTAAGCTTGCGCTTCGCATCCGGGTCCGTCGCCTTGAGCGCCTGCACTCGCAAATCCTCAATCGCCTCGCGGATGTTGAACTGCGCAGCAGTCGCGTCGATCGCCTCGTCCACAGCCTTGCCCTCACGTCAGCTCTGTCCGTGTCATCCCGTAGTTGCGACTCACCTGCTTCACGCCG